CCCAAAGGAAGTCCATGCCATTACCTCGCTTTCCATCTCTGTCCCTTTTTTCAGCTCTTAAAATACAACATCCAGATGCAGTTTTGTATTGTAGAATGAACTGTGCTGTGGAAGGCACTGGTTTGTTCACTGAGTTTCTTCTGGATTTTGACTTTTGTTGCCTTTGGTGATGTTTTGTGGTGTTACAGTGATCACATGTGAAATTATGACTTTCGAGTGATCGTATTTAGATCCTACTAAAACTAAAAATACACCCTTGGCAGTAGACTTGGCTGTTGCTTGCAGGTTTTGGTTTTGGACTGAACTGTGGCTGGGGTGCAGGTTTGGTGCAGTCAGGCTGGGCAGAGGTTTGTTCCCTGGCTCTTACTGACAGTCCCCAAGCAAGCACAGCTCAGTGTGTTCCCAGCTCCTGCCAGAGCTGTTCAGCTTGGGTGTCACTGGTTTCTGTTACCTAATTACCCCATAAAGGGATTTAAAACTGTCTTTAAAAGCCTGATATCCTCTATTACCTAAACTTGCACAGGCTTCGGAAGTAAGCGCTGTCCTGAGGTTTGGAAGGGAAATGAGGAATTTTTAGCTAGAAAAATGCAAGTTGAGAGTAGGAGAAAAAAATTCCTAGTTTCCAGGATATAAAAGAAGTGTGAGTTCGCTTGCTAGTCCGGCAGCATTCCCTTCAGGAGGCTGGCTTAGGGTGTTATCACAGCCACTGTGTGGGAATTCCTCATTCCCCACAGTCAGAAGTGGTCTCCAGTAAGCAAACCCCTGTCCTTGGACTATGGAGTGGTGGACAGGGCTCCACAGGAGTTACTGGGTGATACTTTGCTGATGAAATAATGTTCAACAGGGTTGTTGGGGGCATTTTTCAGTGGCAGCCATCTGTTGTTGATGCTAGAAGGTTAACTTTGGTGTCTTTGTGGAGGAGGCACAGTGATGTCTGTAAAAGTAGTTGGTATCAAAAGACTTACTTGGTCCAGCACAATTTTTAATTCAAAGCTTCTGTCTGCTTGCAGCAGATTATTTTCAAGTGAACCCTTGAAATAGCCTTAAAATAGTATCTTTGTCTTCACGTGGGTCATGAGCAGCGATTGCTGGAGTTGTCCTTGTTCTGCTTTTATGGTGTTTTTAACATGAGCCTCAGAGTTTGAGTCTGTGTATATTTGACAGCCTCAGCTCTCCCCTAAATTTGGCACAGCTCTGACTGGAACCTGGTAATAACTCTGGATCTCAGTGCAGAGCCACTTTGTGGAGCTTTGATTTGACACAGCTGTGAATTATGTAGTTACTTTTACTGTGTGATAAGAGTAGATTTAATATCTCTGTTCAAATATTGCCTGTGTGCCTTTACAATTAGCGGCCCATTTTTTCCCCATTTGGAAAGTGTTTTCCTTTAGCTGCTGCCAGCTGATACGGAGGCTGTTCTGGGAGGATTTGGGTAGCTCTGTTTCTAGCACCACTTTTCTGGTGCTGATGGAAATCGAGCCCACATTTGTGCCACTTCAGCTGTGTTTGTGGAGTAATCCCGTTCTCACGTTAATCATTTAAATCTTATCCCTGAAAGTTTTTTCTGTAATGCACAAAGATTGTTTTGGTTGGTGTTTTTTGTAAACATCAGTTTAATAGATGGAGAAGGTTAATGCAGCCGAACACTGTGAAGTTATTCTCACCTCAGAAACCTGAGCACTTCTCTTACATCAGGCTGTTTGCCCTGATTTGCAGGTTATTTGAGTCGATGGTTTTCCTAAGCCCCACAGAGGCTTTTCTCCATTGGTATTTTGCTCAAGCAATAAATAAATCTGCTGACGTGTGTGTTCTGCCATGTTTGCTTATTCTTGACCTTTGCTTTTTAGCCAGGCGAGGGACAGTTTCAGTCATGACGTTGTGTAACTGGGTGTTTACGCATCGACAAGCGTGTTTGATTTGTATCCTTCAAATCTGTGCCTGTTGCAGCTGATGAGTTGTTCAGAGCAATGTAGACATGGGTAAAGGTTTCAGGGTTAGTGGTGGCGAAACCAAGGCACCTGGTGCTTCGTCATCTGAACAGATTTTGTTCCAGTGCAAGCAAATGTCATTTAAATATTCTCTCCTCCTCTTTCCTTGTTATCTTTGTGTGATGTACCTGTTGTTGCATAGCAGAGAAACTCTTGGTTGTCACAAGTGTGATTGCTATGGTAGGTGCCTGGGTTTTGGTCTGGTTCAGAGCCGTGTTTTGACTCCTGTGTGCTGTGCTCCAGGCTCAGAGCTGCCCTGAAGTCACCTTGGGATGCCCCAAGGCACCCCTGCAGCTTCCAAAGGAGTGTGGCAGGAGCCTGGAGCAGCTGTGCTCAGCAGTGCAGTCCAGTTTCTGCAGGGCACCCAGACTCCAATGTCCACAGGGGTCATGCATTCCAGCAGGAATTAGCTGCCTAAATGCTTCTAAGGATGTTGCCCTTTAGTCTTTCAGAAGGTTTTCACACTAGGTGCTGGTTCACTGTGTCGAACCGGTGCTTTCAGTGTGATTTAGAGCACAAGTCTGATGAGGAGCAGCTGGGGGGGCTCAGCCTGGAGAAAAGGGGGTTCAAGGGGGACCTTCTCTCTCTCCACAACTCCCTGACAGGAGGGGGGAGCCGAGTGGGGTTGGGCTCTGCTTGCAGGTAACAAGGGACAGGATGAGAGGAAACAGCCTCAAGTTGTGCCAGGGAAGGTTCAGGTTAGATACCAGGAAAAATTTCTTTATTGAAAGGGTGGTCAGGCACTGGCACAGGCTGCCCAGGGCAGTGGTGGAATTGCCATCCCTGGAAGTGCTCAAAAGGTTTGTGGGTGTGGCCCCTGGGGACATGGTTTAAGTGTTGAACACCATGGTAGTGGGCTGAGGGTTGGACCCGATGATCTTAGAGGTTTTTTTCAACCTTAGTGACTGATTATCCTCACTTCAGATCATGAGGAAATTTGGATGAAAGCTAGGAAATTAATTGTTTGTGGCTACACAGTGAACCCAGTGATGGCTCTCAGCTCAGCCTTCTGTTCTTGAATCTAAGCTGAAGGAACTCAGTGTGAAACATAGTGTTCTGATGGGGTTTTTTAAAACATAAGTTCTGCATGTAAGATTTAAATTGTGGCAGCCTGTGCAGGACAGTAGAGGAGGTCACCATCTTTGAATGGCAATTCCAGAGCTTTGTGCTAGGTAGTTGTTTCCCATGACAAGCCAAACAGACAGGTTCTGTGTGGACAGCAGGGATTTATTTGGCATCAAACTTCTCTAGATTCAAATCCACAAAACTTCTTCACCTCTTATTGCCTCTGCTTTGAACTCTAGCAGCTCCCAGGGGTGGCTGGAGCACTGACCCTGCACTGATATCCCTCCAGTGCCCTCTCCAAAGTGCTGCTTTTTACCAGTTGAAAACTATGTGTCAAGATCCTGTTTGAAATCTTCAATGGATCATCACACATCTCCTCCAAATCATACTGAGGATAAAGTTATTTTTACTTCTTTCAAAGACTTCGTCCACATAGTGTTTCCCTGAGGGAGGAGAGAGTCTTTGATGTTGAATCACAAGGTCTGGATTCTGTTTTCTATTTCTACACTAATTTTTACTGTGTTATGGGGTCACTTAATTGGTCCATGATACAGTTTACCAAAACTAAATTGGCTTTTATTTTTAACCCAGGGTTTTGGATTACTTTTGTTACCTATAAATTTTACAATGATTAATGTGCTGTTCTGACAGATCTTAAATGCATTTATATTTTCTGTTTATTTCAGACTGTAAGATTCAGATATGTTCCTATTTGATTGGATTTACAGTGGTTTCAGTAGCGTATTACAGTTTTTAGGTAAGTCTTTATCGTTTGGGACTTTTCCTTTCTGCCATTCTTGTATAAAATGTCTGTTCACCTCTGTTATCTTCAAACAAGGCCATTGGTTAAATAATAATATTTGGTTTGGTGTATGTTCAGTAACACTCAAACAAAAGTTTCACTTATCAATAGTGAGCATTTCCAGAGTGTGCTCTCCACTCAATCTCACATTAAGCCTTAACTTCTTGAAAGAAATTACGTTTTCCTTCACAATCGTATTATGTTGGACTTTTCTAATCATAGTACATTTAAGCTGGTGTAGTTTAGTTGGCTTTTGTGGACCTTTTCCTGATTTTTCTCTGCTGTAAAGAACTGAACTCAGTTATTTTAGTTGAGTTCTTTTGCACATGAGGATGTTACTTCAGAATCCAAATAGGAGGAACTGTCTACAAAAATTAGTGCCAGCTATTGAAGCCCTTTCTCATGTTCAGCAGTGTGTTGTTCTGTGACTGGTGTCACAGAAATCACCATGAAACTTCACTGGTATCTGCTCAAGAGCCTCAGAAAATTATTCCCTGGCCAAAAGAGTCTGCAATCCAGATCAGTCCAAGGTGAAATATTAGTTTGTGCTTAACAGGGAGGGGAAAAAAACCCACAACCAGGAGGAGAATGTGTTAGGACACTAAAAAAGGAACAGAAGTTGCAGATCTCATAGGTAAAAGGCACAGTTTCCAAGTTCAAGGGATTTTATCAAAGTGGTCAAAAAGCATTTGAGGCTAAGGAATCATGGCAGGCTGTGCCACCTGCCTTTTATCAGTTGAAAGTTTAAAGTTTTTTGCTGAATGTTGGACCCTTGGCCTGCTGTCGAAAAGCCAGCCAGTGAAATTTTAACTAAAGTTGACTAATCCTTCTTATCTCCTCTTCCTTAGCTGTGCAGTGATTGCTGCATGCTGCCCTGCTCTTCCATTCCTGGGCAAGCAAAGGCTAATTCTGGTGTAAGATACAGGAGCTTGAAGCAGGAAGGAGAATTACTTCCAATATGTCCCTCTTGTTCTAAAAGAAACACTTTCTCTTTTCATTCTCAGTTATGTTCACAGCTGAAGAAGGGTGATCAGAACACTTGGGAGGCTCCCCACAGTTCCCTGTCCTGTCAGCAGGCTGATGGAAGCACATCATTGCACACATACTTTTGGAATGCACAAAGAATACTTTTTTATTTATATGTATACATAAAAACTCCAGTCTTGGTGTAGCCAATAGGTGAAGTATTGCTGCTTGTTATTCTTGTGTTTCTGTGACAGACACTTGGGAAGTGTGAAATGTTTTGGAGAAAGCAGCAACATGTTACTGGGGAGCAAAGACTCCTTTATGTGCAGGCTGAGAGTGGCAAAAATGTTATTGTTTTACTGTATATTAATAGACTTCTGTTTAACTCACAGGGTGAGTTTCTCCTGTGATGTAAGTAAATATATGAAAATGTTTGTCACTTTTTCTTTCTCTGTAAACATTAATATTTTCTCCTCCACTCTGTAGTTCAGTAGTTAATATACATATGGACATGTGAGAAGGTGAGTTTGGGAAGTAAGAATTATTTGTATTTGAAAGAACTGTGAAGACATTCAACAGGACCTGGAGTAATAAAGATCATTGATGACATAAGATGAGGAATATGAGAGAATATCCATTTATGCAAGTTACAAAATATGTCCCTCTGGAACATGATCCCAGAGATTAGCTGAAAGGCAGAGGGAGAGGTGAACAAACAGCAGCAGTGTAAAGGTCTGGGCAGAGGCACCTGTGCCCCTGGAATGCTGTGGCATCAGCAGGGCTGGCTTAAAATCCCACCACAGAAAACACACATGAGGATGACACTTTAGATGAGACTTTTTTTTTTTTTCAATATGGAACAGAATCGACATTTTGTTTTTAAATTTAATTTATCTTAATGTTTTACTTTGAATATCAATCAGTTTGAGGCAGTGAAAACTAATTCTGGCAAAGGATGTAGTGTTGACAAGTTATTAGAGAATTGCCCTTTGATAATCTCCAACATTAAGAAAATATGGTGTTCGTGTTTTAAATGTCTTTCCACTCCTTCACAGCAACTGTTGCATTTCTGGGGTTTCAAATAGAGGGGAGAAGAAGGGGAAAAGTCATTCTTATAAAGATGACAATCAATGAAAATAGGATTTCTTATTCCTTTTATGAAAGCATTGTCACATGGCAGCAGATGTGTCAGAAGTGCCCTGGCAATGCCATTCAGGATGTAGCCACCAGTTTTCCTGGGGGTATGGGTGGAAGTTACTTTTTGTCCAAATGAACCAACACTGAAGAATTCATACATACACTAATTATAAGCATTGACATTGAAACCAATTTCTCTGTAATATTCTGATTGAAGTCTGAATTCTCTTTTTGCCTCAGACAAGTTTTTTGCTGTAATTGGAGGCAGCTGAACGAAACTCTGTGCAGGCTCAGGTCCATGCTCCAGAGCCTGCTGGTGGTGCTGGACCTGCACACTCACCTCTCACCTCCTGTGAGCAAAGTGGCCTTTTGCTGGGGCAGAGTAAGCTCCACTGGCAGTGTTTAGTCCTGTTCTGCAGTGCTTTTCCTGAGCTAATGTAACTGCATTTCCAGGAGTGACACATTCACACCAGTTTTGTGCCTCTCCCACTGCTGCCAAGCTGCACATGGTACCACGTGGCAAGTGGGAATGTAATTTGTACAGGAGGAGAGCATGGATAAAGGGCAGTGGTGATAAAGTGACACTGATAAAGTGTGTGGTGGGGCTTGACTGACCTGTATTTTGTACTGGGACTGTAACACTTTGTTCCTGGGAGCAAAATCATCTCTAGGGCTGGAAATGAACTCCCACCACTTGAACTGATTATTCACTGGGTCCTTCTTTGTTCTAGGACTGTACAAGAAATCAGGCAAACTAGTGTTTCTTGGACTGGACAATGCTGGGAAAACTACACTGCTGCACATGCTCAAAGATGACAGACTGGGGCAACACGTCCCCACGTTACACCCCAGTAAGTGAATATTGCTGGTCCCATAACTAGAAAGTGTTGGAAGGATTGCAGGAAAAGCAGGATTTGATTATATGTCATGAGACCAACAGTGTAATCGGGAGAAACAAAGTAATAGTTCAAGTAATATTAAAAAAAAACATGTAGGGTTGTTCAGTGTGTTGCATTAAATTTAAGAGGTGAGTAACAAGCAGAACAACGAAGCTGAGAGTTTATATTATAGAAACTGGGGGGAAGAGGGGCCTGCAATTTTAGGGAACAGTTTCTCTGTGTAGCTGGAAAGTTAGAGTTTGTGTCTCAAAAGTTGCTGTGTAATTGTTATCCTGGTAACCTTACAGGAGTAAAAGTTCAACACAGGTTGAAAATGTGGATTGATGAAGTCCAGTAAGGAGGTGAGAAATTGGGAATGGATGTGAAGAGGAGAAACCTTGAACAGTACTGGACACAAAATGCCATCTTTTTGGCAAACCAGATGCCAGAACCAACTGTTGTTTGTGTATTATTATGTAGGGATACATAATGTATGAATACTGTCTGCTGTTCTTAGTGTTGCAGATATTTCATGCTTTAATGGTTAATAACATTTTGGTGTTACACGAACGTGTCATTGATTTTGAGAGAATGTTTTGCTCTCATTTGCTTCTTGAATAACAAAATACTGAAAAGAACCAAGAGGAAAAAGTAAAATGTATGTGCTGGAAGGTTAGACTGTTCCAATGCACTGCACAATCTTCACAGGAACATAATTCTGTGTATTTTCAGCTTCAGAAGAGCTGACAATTGCTGGCATGACTTTCACTACCTTTGATCTGGGTGGACATGCTCAAGGTAAGGGTGTCCATTGACTCACTTAAGCTCAGTGAATTGGGTTGGAATTTGTTTCCAGTCAGAAATGCAAAGACTGACCTCCCACACTCTTCTTTGAGAGCATAAAAGACATTGGCTGGTTTTTTTGTCTGTCTCCACCACTTACCACAAATCCCAAATACAATTTTCCAAGAGCTGCAGTAGAGCAGAAACTTTTGTCTAATACTGTGAAGGGGATTATGTACTTTGAATTGCTTGTATTTACCTTTAAGCTTTATGCTTCAAGCTTACCTTTGTTGACATAATTCTTGGGGAAACAAAAAAAAGTTCTGTACATCAGCATCCAGGTGGGATAGAGGGGTGATAACAGTAAAGGAATGATATTTTTGCTCTGTCATTTCAAGTAAAACAGGGGATTGCATTCTGAACACTGGCAACATAAGCTAAGACTTAAAAAAAATCAAATAAAAAACCTCTACCTGTTGCTCCTTAATGACCAATATACATCACTCTGAATTTGGGGATAATTTCCTTTTATTTTTAATTCTCATTTTCCCTGTAGCTCGCAGAGTGTGGAAAAACTACCTGCCTGCAATTAATGGCATTGTGTTCTTGGTGGACTGTGCAGATCATGAAAGGTTGCTTGAATCAAAAGAAGAACTTGATGTAAGTTTAAAGGAGCTTTTCAAAGCATGACCTTTCACTTGTAAGAGCTCAGCTCAAATACCCAGTGTCCAACAGAGCCCTGCTGTCACCTCACATGAGGAGGAGCGATTTGACCTGTATTCTAAATTCATCACTCCTTCTTTCTCCTTTCCTTTGTAGTCACTAATGACAGATGAAACTATTGCTAATGTGCCTATCCTAATTCTTGGTAACAAGATTGACAGACCAGAAGCCATCAGTGAAGAAAGGCTACGAGAGACATTTGGTCTGTATGGCCAGACAACAGGAAAGGTATTGCTCCTTTTTTCTTTTTCTTTTTTTTTTGGCAGGTTTTTGCTTTAGTGAGATTTTTTTGTTAGGGAGTTTGTTTGCTTTATTTATGTGTTGGCTCTGGTTCCTTCTAGCTACACAAAACAAATGTTTTTTAATTTGTAAAGTACTTAGTACCTGATAACAATATATGAAATGAGTTCTGGGGTCTGCTTTTGTGTGTGTTAAATGCATCTTTACTACAACTTTTTAGCATCATATTTAATGCTACATTTTTCAGAGAAAAAAGAGAATAACTTTTAATACTTCAAGTTTCTTATGCAGTATTTTTAAACTGAGTTTTCAGAGGCTATAGTTCTGGAGAGAATTATAAGAAAAAAACTGGATAAAGTCTTTCAGTAAGTGACTTTTCTCGTGTGAAGTACAGGCTTTAATAATTTTCTACTTAAAATGTTTACCTGAAGCTTGAACCTAAATTTACACCTAAGTCTGTAGGTTGTGGGAAGGAAAAAGTTCCTACTGGTACCTGTAGCAACAAGGCAGATTTCTCATGTGGGTCTTCATGATACTTCAACTCTTCTTAATGTAAAGTTAATACAGTGCAGTGCTTGTAGGAGACACTGGGACACAGGGTACTGGGAAGGAGTTGCTCCCTTGTCCTTGGCCCTTGGAGAGACACCTCTGTGCAGCTGATGGAGTCATTCCAGCGTGGCTTCCATCCCGGCTCCCATGAGCTGACCAGCACCGCGGTTCTGCTGAGAGCCCCTGGTCTCGCAATTCCTCTTTGCTTATTCACCCTTAGGGGCCTCCCCTAAAGTTCAGTGCCAGTCAGAGTTTAGGCTGAGCAGGAACAAAATCTTTAACTTCTTTTTTTCGGGTTCTTACACCCCCACACGTAGTTGAGGAGGTCTGAACACTGTTGTGAAGCTCCAGTTGAGCAACAGCTTTATTGCACTCTGCTGATCTTGGCAAGCACCTTGCACTCCTGCTTTGGTCAGTCCTAAAATTAGTATAAAATACTCCTTTTATCTGGCTGGAAAACTATTGTAAACGCAGCAGGGAACTGTGATTGAAAACCAGAGCTCTAAAGTTCTCTGTGGACATGTTGCTGTTCCATTCTGGCTTCAGGTACTTCACCCTCTCCAGTGTGGATGAAAACATGAAAATATGCCTTCAGCACACGAAAATATGCTTTGTGTATTCCTAGTGTCCATGTTACTGAGATTAGGATGGCAGGGTTAGTTTAGAGGTTAGGAGGAAATCCTTCCCTGTGAGGGTGGGGAGGCCCTGGCACAGGTTGCCCAGAGAAGCTGTGACTGCCCCACCCCTGGAAGTGTCCAAGGCCAGGTTGGACAGGATTTGGAACAACCTGGGCTAGGGGGAGGTATCCCTGCCCATGGCAGGGGGTTGGAACAAGATGAGCTTTAAAGTCCCTTCCAACCCAACCCATTCTACGGTTTGAGATGAATTTATGTTCTAAAATTCCAGTATCCAACACAAGTTAAGTACTGGCATTCCATAGAAACAGCTGTCCATGTAAAGTAGGAGTTGTTTTATAAGGAGACCGTAACTGGGGGTATTTCTGTGTCTCTGCAGGGCAACACACCACTGAAGGACCTGAATGCCAGGCCCCTGGAGGTGTTCATGTGCAGTGTGCTAAAGAGACAAGGCTATGGGGAGGGGTTCCGCTGGATGGCCCAGTACATCAACTGATGGATGCCAGAATCCCAGCAGCACACCCTGCCCCTGGCTGAACCTTGTCTGCTCCTCCTCTGATCACTCAGTGTGCGTAACTTGAATCCATTTGACTGTTCAAGTCAGAAAAATACACCTTTTTAGCTGATTATATCATTGATGCTAAATTATAAGTGTTGAGGATTGAAAAATTATTTCACGTTTGTAAGTTGAAATACCACAACCTGTGAGCTTTCTAATCCCATGCAACCTCCTTTTGCAGCTTTTAATTTAATGAGTCTCCAGCACCATTTTTGGTCAGAGCAACTTTCCAGTACAGTATGTTTGAATGCACTTTTTAACAGCTAAAAACGATGAACATGTGAAAAAAAAAATATTTAATGCTTATGTTAAATTTTTTTATGTACTTTTTTGAAACTGGTTTTATAACTTTAGAGTATATAACCATCTTTCAAGGAATAATAAATAATTAGCTGATGGATAATTGCATGATGCCTTACAGTTTTCAATAACACACTTTCTTATGCAACGTCATGCAATAAATTTAAATCCAGTTTTTGGCAACTTTAATGGGAAATGTTTCGTTTTAATGTGTCTTAACTAGTGAGGCTGCCTGGTGATCTGAATATGTGGGATATTTTCCTGAAACACAGCAGGCCACAAAGTAGTTCCATTGTAGGTTAGAGTAAAGGTGGGGTTTTTCAGACTACCAAATTGCATTTGTTTTAAGGATTTTGCATAGTAAAGGAAAAATCTAAGGTGATGCCCTTCAAGTACAAATAATGTAAATTAGCTGTGCCAAAGTAAATCTTAAACTAATATCAAAAGTGGTCTTAATCTCCTGGTCTCTGGAATTAAACCCCTGATGTGGCATAAGAAATACAGTTTCTTTCTGAAGAAAAATTAAGAATATCACTGCACTAAATATCTTGTTTCCAATTTCATTAGTTTTGGGGTCTGCCAGCAGATTTGCCTGTGAAATTGCCAGGAAAAAAAAGTGTTGCCATTGCTGCTTGTGAAAATTTATCAGCTCACACCCAATTGACCAGTTTTAGTTTTGGTACTTTAGACTGGGACAAGAGGGATTCTTTTGTGTGGTTTTTGCCCTGACACCTGGCCAGTGGGGCAGCTGCTGGCTGCCCAGGGGACTTATTTCTGGGGTAAAATTCAGTTATCTGCAGTCCCTGTTTCCAGTCTTCTGGTTTTCCCTGGCTCCCCAAGGAAAAAGCAGGTTATCTTTGAAGAAAGGGTGTTGTCTGTCAGCATTTTGTTGGTGCTGCCTGGGAGCTGTGGTTGGTGCTTCCATGTGCTGGGGATGTTTTATTTTACTGTGAAATGAAGGTGGGGTTTCATCCCTGAAGTCACTGTTTCACCTTGATGGGTTTGGGTTTCACTCTGTAGTTTGTTTTCCCCTTGTACAAATACAAACTGCTGCAAGTTTTACTGGATCCCTTTTACCTCCTGCTGTAGGTCTTCTCCAAAATACTTTAGGCCTTATGTTTCTAATATCCATGGCAGCAAATGTATTTCTGACTGGTTTGATTTCATAAATAACTTTCTCTGGGATGGAATCTCAGATTTAAAGCCTGTAGGCTCATAGCAAATAAATGAGACTTATTCCTTGCCCAAATCTGAACTGGTATGATTGAATATTGATGATCAGTTCCCCACAGTCCTAGACTGTGCATCTGAATAAGATGAATAATTCAGAACATAGCTAATATAAATTGTAAATGAAGTTTATTGCTGCAGAATAGTGTGCAGAGCATTAAGCCCAGTTTGTGCACAGTGAAGTTCAGTGTGATGGTATCAGATGGCTTTTCCAAATGACCAGCACAAGAGAATTCTGCATGTAAACCAGTGCTCAGCTGTAGAGTAGTGTCTCTGCTGCAGAAATCCAAACTGGAGGTAAGAAGTGGCCTCTCACCAGCGTGTGGACAGTGTGTTGTGAGTCTTTACTCCCTACAGCCATTGTGTAGGGGATGTGCCTCTTGGGTTTTTTTTCTCTAACTTTTTCTGATGGTGGCTGTAATGCAGAGAACAGCTAAATCACTAGATGGTGTAAATATTAAAGGTACTACTTGCAGAGTCACATTGTAGTGTTGATGTGAGAGACTCGGGACTGTGCTGCCTGTGCTGATGGAAATGAAGCTGGAGGTGGAGATGTTCTGCTGCACTTCCACAGGCTGAGCCATTGCATGGGCACAGAGGGTCCTCTTCACCTGCTCTTCCAACCAACCATGAGCAGCAGCAGCAAAGAAAGGGATAATCCTATGAAAAATTGAAAAAGAAGGGAGGTGATAGTGCTTGAAAAGTGTGTGTTAAGAACAATTCTCACTGTTATGGAAACACTCAGATTTCCTGGTTCCTGCTGTGGGATGCTGCCTGAAATGTGGTTGCTGTAAGGGCATGAAGAAATCTGGACCTTGTGTTTATCCACCTGGGTGCTGGAATGGTTCCTGCTGTGGGAACAGCTGATCAACACTCAGTGAAGTACACAAACAATCTTGCTCTGTTCATTCAGCAGAGGAAGGATCTTCCTTCTGTAGTTTACCTTCTGTTGTGCACTTGAATGTGAATGAGTGTTGTGTGTCTTTGTGTGAAGACTTCATTAATAGACAAATAACTTGATGAGAGTTTTCCTGGTGGTTCTCATTCCTACTCCCCCCCACATCTCCCTGGCCATTTATTTCTATCTTATTCCTAAGACTGTGACCAGTCTTGCTTAAACAAAAGCAACATTCACATCTGGGTCTGACTTCTATGAATTGATTTTTTTTTTGCACTCTTGACTATGCAGATTTCAATTAAACATCACTTTAAAGAATGTGAAAAAGAAAACTCATTAATAAAGATGTTATTTATGAAGTGTCTCATTTTGTTTTTACATTACAACAGTTCCTTAAGAGAAATGAATGCAGATTTCTAAGATCCTAATAACTACTTGTGACAGTGGCCTGTATTTCACTGCAGTGACCCCAGTTGCTGGCATCTCTGGGTTAAGATTTATTTTGCTTGTATTTAGTTAAAATTGGGGTTTAGTATGTACTGTATAACTGAGAGGTGATTGCTGTATTTCAGTCTTGGTTTAATAAATTTTTCAGCAATTATTGGCATTGGAGAGGGGAAGGATCTCCAAGTTTTCTCATTTGTCCTCTTGCCAGATCAAGATAATTTCATTATTATTTCTGTGTTCGGGTCCTGTCTTTGATGTGCCAGAGGTGACCTGTGGCATTCACTGGAGTACATACAATACCAGAATGTATGGGAGCTTTATTGGATTTTGATGATTGCAACTGAACACCAAATAGAACATTTGGCACCTATTTATTTATAATAATGTCAGTTCAGAAAATGATGGAGGTGGTCTCCAACCCCAGTGAATTCACAGGTCTGCTTGAGGTCGAATTGTTCTTCTCTTGTTTGTACTGTCCAAATATTTGATTGTTACCAACCAAAGTCCAGTATTTCTATTGACTGCACCGTGCTCAGATTTAGGTCACATAAATGTTAGTTTTGGGCCGAGGAGTTACATTAAAACAGCCTCATCCAGTGGCTGTCACTGGGGTCTTGTAGCTTCCTCACACTGAGATAAAACCACTCTTTGCACCAGTATCTGTGTGGAACTGGATTCTGTTTGGAAATGTGAGTGCTCTAAATGTTTAAAAGCATAATTTATATAATAAACTGCGGAAGAGAAGCTTAAGACCAGAGTGTCTGTTGACATGTTCTCGGTGTGTTTGTTGTTGTGTTATCCCATCCCATGCTGGAAATACAAGTATGAGAAATAGAAAATAAAACGTTGCTTGGAATGTGAAGAAAAGGAGTTTTAAGCAGGGAGTTCTTGTAAAATTATCAAAACCAGGAAAAAAGTGTGCTCAGCACATGGTCTAGTAATGAGCTGGGTTCTAAGATGGGTACAGTAATAATTCAGTCTGGAGAAAATGACATTTCCTTTTCTGCAATTCTAAAATGAGGTGGAAGGATCTGATCTTACAGGCAAATGATGCTGCCTGAGAATCCAGCTGCCCTCTAGGATTGGCACTGTTGGTGGAGTGGGGATTGCCACGGAGTATTATCAAACTGATAAACTCAGCCCTGACACAACCCATGGGGAAGTGTCTTAACCTACTGTGATAGACAACTATTTTCCAATCCTAAGCATATGTTCTCCTTAGTTTACATTTTTCAAGTTATTTCTTACTTGTCTGCTTTTGAATTAGAATTAGAAATTCAGTGAGCAGGTACAGTAAAATAAAAAAAAAATACATCCCTTGTCTTCCTTATGACCCTGGTTCTTATTGCACATGTCCTGTCATGGTAAGAAATTTCCTAGTAATATTTTGGAGCCTTTGATGCCTTTCATTCCAGGATCTCAAAGCTTTCAACCTGCTGATGCTGCCTCATCATCCTTGTGGAGGCAGAGGGCACTCATCCTGTTTGCCCTGTGGCGAAGGTGATGGCTGGAGGGATCAGGTCCTGCTTGGTCCCTGCCTGGACAAGAAGAGCTCTCACAGCAGCCTCGGAGGAAGCAGTGCCTCCCTAACTTGGGCACTGTCTGCCCATGTCCCAGTGGGATGACAGAAGCCTCCCTCACCTGCAAACTACTGGAGCTCCTGCACAAACCGTGTGTAAATCAAGGGCATTTTGGGTCCCCTCTTCGGTGTTCGTGGCACCACAGCCACTCTGAGCATGAGCCATTCACTGTGTTGCTCCCAAATGTGACAAGATTTAGTAGATAACAAAAACTTGCAATTTGAGGGCTGGGTGCAAAGCTTGCTTGGATCCACTTGTAGTCCTGGGTTCTCCTTCCTAAATGTGTGATAATAAACGCTCTCCTCATTGAAGGAGAATGTAAAGGCATACTTTCAATATTGGGTCCAAATGCCTGGTTTTGGCACAGGCAAATAAGAATTTATGTTGCTTGGATAGATTTTCCCCCACAAGGGTGGTACTTCACTGTCAGAGTGGTTTGATTAACTCCCAGGAGCAGCACTAGCTGGAGCAAACCCTTGGCAGTAGCTCAGGGCAGGGATGAGCTGTTGGAGACCTGATCTTGGCCACTTGGTGATATTTGAGTGCCCGACCCCAGGGGTGGGAACAGCAGCTCTGTTGACAGGGAGTGTAGTGTGACAGGCTGCTGCTCTGGGCAGGGGCTGAGGGGGGAGCTGAGCTGAGGAGAACCTGAGCTTACCCTGGCAAGAGGCTGGGGGACAGTTCAGGTTTTGTAGCACATGGGGGTTCTGAGAAAAGGGATTTGCATTTCCATCAGAATGTGGCTCCTGAGAGGAAGGGCAGAATTTGAGTTGGAGTTTGTTCAAATCTTTGTTAAAGGGCAGCCCCAGGTCCTATGAGCATCTCTAGGAAATACCTGAGCAAGTTCCCACTGTGCAATGGAGGAAGGGAAAAATCAGTTGGGTTGACAGATGTCCCCTTGCCAGCGAGGTAAAGAGGGAAAGCAATTCAGAACAGGGCTCCTGATGCTGCTGTGCCACAGCTCGTGTGTGGGGCTGACCCCAGGGTTTGGAAACACTGGTGCTTGTGAAGGGAGGGAGAGCACCCAGATAGTGTTTCAGTCAGCCTGTGCACACTGTGGTGGTGCCAGTGTTTGTCAGGATATTTTGAAATCTATCCAGTGTCCTACAACTAAACTGGGCTTTGCTAAGTCACTGACAACTGCTGGTTCTTGGTGGACTGTTCCCCAAGGACAAAGCTGAGCTCACTGGTTTAACACACTTGACTTCTGACCAGATCATAAGCACAAGCTGCAGAACTTAAACCATACTTTAAGCTCTCTCATGCCCGTTGGCACTCAGAGATGGATTTTGAGTTCAGCCCAAGCTCTTGGTCCCAGCCCCAGTGCCCAAATGTTGTTTCCTCTCTGCATTCTTAGAGCAGGTTTTGGTTTAGGTTCAAATAAATTGAAACTGTAAAAGGAAGACTCCTTTATGTGCCACTTAACTCTTCTATTCCTTGCTCTGTGTGTTTGTAATATAGCTACAGGATGTAAGTATATGTATATACATATATACACACACACAAGAGGTTTAATATGAACCTGTGCAAAATATTGTTACTGAGATGCATTAGCATGAAGTTGCAGAGGACATTTAGTGAAATTCTCTGCTCATAGTAGGTTTTAAGGGGTAAAAAAATCAGGAGTTTGCAGTACAGAAAATTAAAAACTTTTGCTTTACTGGGAAATAATTAATTACGGGAGATGGTGTGAGAGAAATTCAGATGTGCAGCTTCAGGAGAGCAGCTGGAGCTCGGTGCTGCCTGGACAAACAGCAGTTAAGCAGAACAGGAGGCAGAGCTGGGAATGTAGTTTTCCCTTTTTTAGAGCTTCTGTTTTGTTTCTGGCGTCAGAGACACTTCTACATTGGTGTAAAGAAGTTTGGGTGTTCCTACAAAATGAGAGGTTTACTTGAGCATGTTTTTAGGGAGTGTGTCCCATCCACTTGCTCTGACTCACTGCTCTGTGACAGCTGGCTCTGAGGAGCTCCAGTGAACATCCACAAAAGAAAGTGATGATGATTTGACATTTGTGCCTGAAAATCAGTCTGTAAAGAGAACTGCTTTTTGATTTATAGTATTATTTTATTTTTTCACTCCCCCTCTAGCCCTCCTATGTGCTATTACCACTTCTGTAATAGCCTTTTGTTTCCTAACCTGTATTTTGAATTGCCTCCCAAGTTTAAAAAACAGTATGGTTCTGTTTCTCCCGGGCTGGTTTGGAGGGAGCTTTTTTCCAACACTCTGATGCTTAAAATTCTGGGGAAGAAATTTTTAAAGAGGCCTCTGTCAAAGAAGAAATTCTGCTGGTGTTTTCAGAGCTGTTGTCAGGCAGAATGCAAGAGAGAATTAGTACAAGGTTTACATGTGTTCTTTGCCGTTATTATTTTGGGAGAAACGAGGAAAGCCCAAAAAGTTACAGTCTCTGTGGTTAGTTGAAGTTAACAGAGCTGCTGCAAGTCTGACTGCAGAGAAGAATGTGTAACAGATCCTCACTCATGTGACTGTGGATGAGTCTATTTCTGTCTCAGTAAACATGAAATTATGAAATCCATGCCATGGAGATGGGGCTGGTGAAGTCCTTGGCTGACCTGGTCAACTGTCATTGGACTTGCACCTCTCTGAGAGTACAAAGTGAATTTGAACTTACTGCAGAACATTATGCTGCTGGAAGATGTGTAGTGAAAGGAAAGCAGGTTCAAGCAATATTGCAAAGAAACCATCCAGTATGTTACCAGGTAAGAGGGAAAGTGTTGAGAGTTTCTGTAATAATGTCTTACACACCTCGTGGGCATAAGAGCACTTTACAAAGACAACATCTGGGAAAAAAAAAATCACCAAGAAACACGTTTTCTTTTGTACATTCCAGATTTGAAATACATTCTTTGTAAAACTGATGTGTGGCTGAGACTTGGATCCTTTCTGCAAAATTTAAAAAAGTGTGTGTCTCAAGGCTGCAAAACAAGGAGAAAAAGATGTGAGGGAAACGGGTCATACTTTGCCTTTGCACTCCTTAGATGGCTCCAGTGATCCCCTGCACAGTGCAAGGCTGTGGTGGGGAAGGAGCTGGTCCTACCCCGAGCCCTTTGCTGGATCCTGCTTCATCAGTGCCCTTCCCTGCTGCTCCTCCAGGAGGTGTGTCCCACCTGCACTGGGACCATCCCCAGCGCCTCTACTCTGCACCAGCTCCAGCTCTGAGCATCCCAGGTGCAAAGGTCGGTGATATTGCCCACCCCAAATGCTTCATTCCTCCCCCAGTATTCAGTTCTGCCCTGCCGTGGCATCTCCTCTCCAGCATCCCCCTTCAGTGAGCTCAGTGCAGGAGGGAGGCTCAGGCAGCTCTTGGGATCCAGCCCATTGCCAGAGGGGGAGGAGTGGGCAGGTTGCACTGGGCAGGAGCTTGCTGGGACAAGCACAGCCTGCCTGTGCAGGCAGGGGAGTCCTGGCAGGTGGGAGGAAAACCAGAGCCTGTCCTGGGAACTGGGTGAAAAAGTCATGCAAGGAGGGAGGGCAAAACCAAGGGGCAAAAAAGACCAGTGGGATCCCGGATTTCATAGAATCCCAGAGTGATTTGGGTTGGAAGGGAACTTAAAACTCATCTCATTCTAACCCACCTGCAAGGGGCAGATACACCTCCACTAGCCCAGGTTGCTCCAAGCCCCATCCAACCTGACCTGGAACACAGCTTCTCTGGGCAACCTGTGCCAGGGCCTCCCCACCCTCAGGGAAGAATTTATCCCTAATATCCAATATATCCCTGCCCTCTGTCACTGGGAAGCCATTCCCCCTTGTCCTGTCCCTCCATCCCTTGTCCCAAGTCCCTCCCCAGCTCTCCTGGAGCCCCTTTAGGCACTGAAAGGAGCTCTAAGGTCTGCTGGATCCTTCTCCAGATAAACACCCCCAGCTCTCCCAGCCTGGCTCCAGAGCAGAGGGACTCCAGCCTTCAGAGCACCTTTGTGGCCTCCTCTGGACTTGCTCCAACAGATCTGTGTCCTTTTTATTTACTTAATTCCTGATTTTCTCATTTTGCAGAGGAGGCAATCGAACTCCCACCTCATTTGCAGCAAGTGCCTGAGCACAGTCCTTTCAGAAGCAGATGGTGACCTTCCATTCACACACAACATCCCCCAAGCTCCTGGAGCAGCACGTGCCTTCACCTCCCTGCTGTGTAATGCAGCCTATAGGGCATGT